AAAGACTATAGTCTCAGTATGGATTACACCTTAAATAATACAAAAATCCTCACAACTGGACCAATAAGCAACATCATCATAAACAGAGAAAAGATTGAAGTTGTCAAGGATTTCATTTTACTTGGATCCACAATCAACGCCCATGGAAGCAGCAGTCAAGAAATCAAATGATGCATTGTATTGGGCAAATCTGCTGCAAAAGACCTCTATAAAGTATTAAAAAGCAAAGATGTCACTTTAAGGACTAAGGTGTGCCTGACTCAAGCCATGGTGTTTTCAATTGCCTCATATGCATGCGAAGGCTGGATAATGAATAAAGAAGATCGAAGAAGTATTGACGCCTTTGAATTATGGTGTTGGTAGAGAATATTGAATATACCATGGACCACCAGAAGAACAAACAAATCTGTTTTCGACGAAGTACAGCCAGAATGCTCCTTAGAAGTAAGGATGGCAAGATTTTGTCTCACATATTTGGACATGTTATCAGGAGGGACCAGTCCCTGGAGAAGGACATCGTGCTTGGTAAAGTAGAGGGTCAGTGAAAAAGAGGGAGACCCTCAATGAAAGGGATTGACACAGTGGCTGCAACAGTGGGCTTAAGCACTGAGGATGGCACAGGACTAGGCATTGTTTCTTTCTGTTGTACATATTTGCTATGAGTCAGAACTGACTGGACAGCACCAAACAACATCACCAGGCTCCTTTGGAAGATGATTAACTACCCAATGATGAGGACAGTGGAGGGAGGGAGGGTGGTGTGTTCGGAGGTCTGAGTGGGAGAAAAGGGTTCAGGGCTGGGGTGAGGCGAAGGGTGTGGTTCCTTCAAGAGAGATTTGACAGTGAGTGGACAAATGATAACAGGGCTGTGGGGGATGAGGGATGACTACCCTAGGTTATGGTGGACAGGGAGCCGCCCCTGAACTCGCGTTCGTGTGAGGCTGCCTTGACCAGAAGGAACAGAAGCCTGCTCTGACTGCTTAACTGTGAAAGGGGGTTTGAATTCAGGGGCTAGAGGGGCAACTGCTTATTTACTGATGGGACTTGGTACAGAGACAGAGGGAAGCCTGTCACCCCTGTGCCCCCATACCTGTGTCAAAGGCAAAGAAGTTAGAATCCAAGCATGCGGTGCTTGGAGGAGGAATGTATGCTGGGGCCGCATCACCTAACAGATGGGCACGCTGCACACACTCTGATGTTTAATTCCTTTCCCTGGGGAATATCATGAACCTCTGTTTTCAAAGTCGCTGCACAGTCTCCCTGAGAGTCCACACTCCCCAGGCATTCCTTTATTGAGGGACACTTAGTTGTTCCGGGTTTTTTCCCTCATCACAGTGTTGCACTGAAAGTTCTCCTATGTGCAGAGCCTAAGAAGGAGAACTCAGGATGTGGGCATTTTACATTTGACATCCAATGGCCTTTTCTGATGGGTCCTCTGGGTACTCTCCCGCCAACACAGGCAGGGTGCCAGGCTCTGTGCCTACTCCCGGAGCCCAGTTCTCTACTCAGGGCCTCAGCCTAGGCACCTCTTCTCCCTGCAGGCGCCCGAGCCTCTGAGCTCCTTGAAGTCCATGGCAGAGCGGGCAGCCATCAGCTCTGGCATCGAGGACCCTGTGCCAACGCTGCACCTGACAGAGCGAGGTGAGGGTCTGGGGGTAGTGGAGGGCAGGCCAACATGGAGGGGTGGGCCCCAGGCTGGTCTCACCACTGAGGGGTCTGGCCCTGCCTCCCCACAGACATCATCCTGAGCAGTACATCGGCCCCGCCAGCCTCAGCCCAGCCACCTCTGCAGCTGTCGGAGGTGAACATCCCACTGTCCCTGGGCGTGTGTCCCTTGGGGCCTGTGCCCCTCACCAAGGAGCAGCTCTACCAGCAGGCCATGGAAGAGGCCGCCTGGCACCACATGCCCCACCCTTCTGACTCCGAGCGCATCCGGTGAGGGGCCCAAGGGGGACTGGGGGCCAGGACCTGAGGTGGAGGGAGGAGGCGTGGCTGGGGATCAGGTGCCAGGCGCTGAGGTAAAGGTTGCTGGTTTTGTTGGCATTAAGACCAGGTGCTGAGCCTGTGGTAGTAGACTGGGACCCAGGGGGTTGGGCACCTGGTACAGGTTCTCCAGAGGAGGTGGGATGATGAGGAGCCCCAGAAGTCCCCCCTTGATCTGTGAGAGGTGTGGGCACGAGCCCGTAGGTCTAGGGTGTCCTGTCGGAATCCTGCACCTGAGTGTTGGGCAATCAAGACAGTGGGTGGACCTTGACACCCCTGAGGTCAGGAGCCACAGGCAGCTGGTGCTGACACCCTCGAATGTTACCCCACAGGCAGTACCTCCCCCGGAACCCATGTCCAACGCCCCCCTACCACCACCAGATGCCGCCCCCGCACTCGGACACTGTGGAGTTCTACCAGCGCCTGTCGACTGAGACGCTCTTCTTCATCTTCTACTATCTGGAGGTACAGCAGGGCCCTGGGGCAGCCTCGCGCCCCCCGGCTTCGCCGCCACCGCCGCCGTCCCCCCTCGGGCTGGAGGGGTGAGGTGGGTGCCCCACTGCGGCCACCGGAACCGCACCCCCTTCCCGTCCCCCAGTCCTGGGCCCCCCAGACCACATCTGTCCCTACCCCATTTCCAGTTCAGATTGGCCTCCCAGCCAGGCTGGCCTATGCAGCACAGGAGTCAGGGAGCCCCGCTTAGATATGTCCACAGTCCCTTCCCCACTTGGGCAGGTCCCTGTAGTCCAGGCTGTGCTCACTGGCACGTTCTCAGGCCTCCATCAGGGAACCATCCAACCTCCTCATGACCCCAGTGAGTGATGAGTAACCTTCACCCTCATGCTGACTCGAGGACTTTCTTTGCCTCCTGTCAGCTCTCAGCACATTAGTTTCTCTTCCTTCTCAAAGCTTCTCTGAAAGCCATCTCCACTCCTGTCTCACTTTCCTTCTCCTGGTCAGCATTGGTATGTTCTGTGCCCCCAGCCCCAGCTCCAGTTGGATGGTCCAGCCCAACCCTGGTCTGAGGCGGGGGCCTGGGTCCAACTCTGATGCCCACCCTGCCCCCGTTCTGTCCCTTGGTTTGAGGGCCCCCTGACACTCCCTCCACTCTTCCTCCCCAGGGCACTAAGGCACAGTACCTGGCAGCCAAGGCCCTAAAGAAGCAGTCCTGGCGATTCCACACCAAGTACATGATGTGGTTCCAGCGGCACGAGGAGCCCAAGACCATCACGGATGAGTTTGAACAGGTGACAGGCCCTCCCTGTCCCCCTGAAGTTGTCATCAGGCCAGGTCCACACTTCACACCTGACTCCAGGCCCTGTCTCCCTCCTTCTCCACCCTCCTCAGCAACTCAGGTCCTCCAGCTCCCTAAGGTCCTTCTCCCTCAGGCCACCCACTGTGCCTGGAAAGCTCTGATCATCCAACTCCTAGCCGTCCTTTAGGTCTTAGCTTTAATGCCAGTTCCTCAGAGTAAGCCTTCCCAGAACCATCAGCCTAATGCCTCCACTGCATCCCCTTCTCTGTGGTATGGCTGGGGTTCTCTGACCCTGTGGTGTTTTTTACCCCACGTCACCCGTGTCCACAGATACTCGGTGGGGAAGCTGTTTTCTTAAATGACCATCTCATGTTCTAATGATTGATTGAAACCTCCCACTTCTCTCAAAATATGCTGGAGCCAGACACCTGGGTTTGAGTCCAGCTTAGCTGGTGACCTTGAGCAAGTCACTTGAACCTGTCCAAATTTCCTCCTCTGTAAAAATGGGGGTAAGAGGACCTACCTTATGCAGCTGTGACGAGGATTAAATGAATTAATAACGTGTGAAGTACTTAGTGGTGCCTGCTACAAAGTTAAATGTTACAGACGTATTCTGTTAATATTCAAATTACTTTCAGTTGGTGTGTTCCACAACATTTTGTTCCCACCAAATATTTACCGGATGCCAAGCCCCCTTGGAAGAGAGTGTGTAGAATGAGGTGTTGTCCTTGTCCTAGAGAACTCCTCTCTCCCCCTGCCCCCCACCAACCCCACTCCTTCAGGGGGCAATTTTTTGAGGCACTTCAGACAGTGATCCATTTGGAGCCCAGCCCTTCCCCATTGCATCCCCTCCAGTGTTAACTACAGGCTGTCCCATCCTGGCTTGGTCCAAAACAGCCCTCCAGTCAATGTACTTCAGGGCACCTGGCCATTCAGAAATGCTCACCCCTCCATCACCAATAAGATGTCCCTGGAGGGTGCTTGCGTTTAGACTCTGGGCCTCTTCCAGTCTTTAGGACGGGGTATTGATAGCCCACTCCCCCAAAGCTTCTCACAAGATGATAGAACACGTCGCGCACTTGGCATGCAATGGGTGCTCAAAGCTGCAGCCTTGTGAAGGAAGAGCAGCAGTGCTTCTCAGCACCCCTGGGGCAGAGCGCCAGCTCTGTTGTGAGGCCTCGCTCAGTTTCTCTCTAAAGTGGGCATAGTGGTAAGGATGGAACAAGCCAGGCATGTGTGCTTGGCAGACCCCAGCCCTGAGAGCTGCCTCCCTTCCCTGTCCCTTCACTGACCACCTTCTCCCCTGGCCAGGGCACCTACATCTACTTCGACTACGAGAAGTGGGGCCAGCGGAAGAAGGAAGGCTTCACCTTCGAATACCGCTACCTGGAGGACCGGGACCTCCAGTGACACCGGCCCCTCCCTGAGCCCAACCCCTACCCCACGCATGCTGATCCCCCTGCCTAGGTGAGGGCCCTGCCCTGGAAGATTGGGGGAGCCCCCCCACCCCACGGGGCAGCTCCCTCCCCCAGGAAGCAGGGAGGGGGCCAGGAGGTCTTCTCTTCCTCTCAGCCCCACCCTGGGGGCTTGGGGGCGAGGGCTGCCCCCTCCTCCCCTCCCCAGTGAGGGACATTTTTTGGTAAACCTATTTTCATTTTGGAAAATATTTATGAATAAATAGTTTTATATGACGGCTGGCAGCGGCGGCGGCCTCTCCTGTACCCCTCAGGAACAGAGACTTGGGGCCTTGTCCCGGCACAAGTCAGTGGGAGGGCTGGGCATCCTGCTGGCAGGGGCGCCGGGCCAGCTTGGGGTGGAACTGGGAGTTGTAGCGCCGCCGCCGCTCGTCTGTCTCCTCCTCTGGTGGGTCCTCTTGGGGGGCTCTGCCTCGGACCCGGGCCAGCAGGTCCTCTGCCCGGGCCCTCTCAGCTGCTTCCCGCTGGAGACGTTCCGCTCGAAGCTGGTCCAGTGATGGGGGCCTGGGGGCAGAGGAGTCAGGTCAGCAGGCTGAGTGGCCCCAGGAGGGCCTACCCCTCCCACCTCTTTTCAGGTGAGGGGCAGCCACCTCAAACCCCTTGCTTTCTCCTAACATGCCCCCCGATCTCATCTCCTAAAGCCTGCTGGGAGGAAGCAGACCAATTCCAGGATCAGCAGGCCAGCCTCCCTCCTGGGCACATGTCTGTGCCCTCCCTCCTTTGGCTTCTGTCCTCCTCAGCTTTCAAAAGCAGGTTTCCCTCCAACTCAAGAAACCCACTGCTAACTTTGATATCTGACCCTGAGCAACTCCCTGGCCCTCTCTGGGCCTCAGTTCCCCTTTTGTAGAAACAAACTGTAGTCAGTGCACCCCTCTACATGTGGGGCCTGACATGTGGGACACAGCCTGGCTTGCTGTAACCGCAGTTCTCAAACTCTGGTCTCAGGACCCCATTACATTCTTAAACTAATGACCCCTAAGGGCTCTTGTTTGTGTGGCTCATATTAACATTTATCACATTAGATATGAAAACAGATTTTGAGAACACAAGCATATGTCCCATCAACCAACAGAGCAATGACATGTCATGTAGCCTCTGGAAGCCTCCACTGTGCACATGAGAGGGAGCATGGAAAAGGCAACTGTCGTTATGAAAATAAATGTGACTTCACAGACCTTCCCACCCCATCCCCAAAAGGGTCCGAGGCCACTTGGAGAACTGCTCTCACCAGCCAACCCAGTGCCCTTCTGCCCAGCCAGCTCTGGAAGGAGCCTTCCTGCTTACTCCTTTGGCCGCTGTTTCTCAGACCCCTTCTTCTCCTTTCTGCTGGGCCTGCCCTTGTCCCCGCTTTGCTGCCTCTTCTTCCCCAAGTGCTTCTGCATCTCCCGCAGAGGGTCCAGATGTCTCTTGATCTTCTCATCGGGACCTAGGCGGGGTGGGGAGGCCCCTCGGCCCGGGGGGAGCTGGTACCATGGGGGTTGTGTCTGGGCTTCCGCAGCACTCTGGCCCAGGTACGTCAGGATGCCCAGCGCTTTCTCCTGCCTCTCCTGGAGGGGCCAGAGAAACACGGGAGAGATGATTACAGCCACTCAGGATGTCTGGGGAGGGGGGGTGTCAAGCAGGTATGCCCTCAGGGGGCCCTGCCCTGAGAGCCCAAGGTCCTGGGGGGCAGTCAGTCACTCAGCAAACGCACTGAGGGCCTCACGAGCCAGCTACACCAGGGCTGGGGTGTAACAGACCCTGGTGATGGCAGTAACCAACAGTGAGGAAAGGGGATGGTGAGGGTGAAGGACACTTTAGGGTTGAAGGCAGAGGAGTGATTGAGGCCATGTTCAAGTGTGATAGGAATCCCTGGGAGCAGATGAGTGCCTGTCTGATTAACATTTTAAAAATGTCTCAGCAGGAGTGGGTAGGAATGGGAACTTGAGACCAGGCAGGCTGCTGCAGCTTCCAAATGAGGGGGCAGGTGGGGGTGGGGGTGCAGGGAGGAGGTGAAAAATGGTAGGACTCCAGTTAAAGCAGTATCTGAAAGGCAGAGCCCATAGGATGAGCTGATGGACACACCAAGCAGTGTTTTGGAAGTTGGGGGGCTCTTGGCTTCATGGCTGGGACAGCTTAGTTGTACAGGACCATTCTGTGCACTGCAGCTCATCTCATGAGGACCTCCAGCCCCAGCACCCACGCCGTCACTGTGAAGGTCAGGAGGGCCCGCACAGGGAGTGGTGCTGCCCCTTGAAAAGCCCTGCCTGGCGGGTATACCAGTCAGGAGGAGGGTGGTCAAGAATGAGAGGGAAGCCAGACACTTCCCAAGAATGCCCCCATACCTGCTAGGAATTTGTGGGAAAGGCAACAAGAGGGTAAGAAGATGGACCAGCAAATTACCACCACCACTTACCACTTGACACACCCCACATCCCTGTAGGGTTTTTTTTTTTTTAAAATTGTGCTTTAGGTACAGGTTTACAGAGCAAATTAGTTTCTCATTAAACAATACACATATTTTGTGACACTGGTTGCTGACCCTGCCATGTGTCAACACTCTCCCCTTTTCAACCTTGGGTTCCCCATTTCCATTCGTCCAGCTTTCCTGTCCCGCTCCTGTCTTCCCGTCCTCGCCCCTGTATGCCCATTTAGTCTCATCTACATGGTTAAGCTACTGTGTATTACTGTTTTATGGGCCTGTCTAATCTTTGGCTGAAGGGTGAACCTTATGAGTGACTTCAGTACTGAGTTAAAAGGGTGTCCAGGAGCCATACTCTTGAGGTTTCTCCAGTCTCTGTCAGACCCGTAAGTCTGGTCCCTTTTTGAGAGTTTGAATTTTGTTCTACCCTTTTCTCTAGTTCTGACTGGGACCCTCTATTGTGATCCCTGTCAGACCAGTCGGTGGTGGTAGCCAGGCACCACCTAGTTGTTCTAGGCTCAGTCTGGTGGAGGCTGTCGTAGTTGTGGTTCATTAGTCCTTTGGATTAATCTTTCCTTGTGTCTTTGGTTTTCTTCATTCTCCCTTGCCCCTGTAGGGTCTTGACCTCAGGATGGAGACCTGAGCGGTTTGCACTTAGCAGCCCCATAGCTGGGCTGTTGTTAGTTGCCTTCAAGTCAGTTCTAACTCAGGGTGACACCATGTGTGCAGAGTAGAACTGCTCCATAGGGTTTTCGAGGCTGTGATCTTTTGGAAGCAGATCACCAGGCCTGTCTTCTGAGGCACCTCTGGGTGGGTTCAAACCACCAACCTTTCAGTTAGTAGTCGAGCGTTTGCACCACCCACGAACTCCATATGTGGGGTGACTAGCCAAATCCTGTGGGTGCCTGGATAGCCATAGCTAGCACTTCTTGGGTGCTGTTCTGGTCCTGTTCTAAGTTATGTTTGCTCATTTAATCCCCACCGTATCCGCACACTCCTGTTAGTCACACCCAAGTGCCCCCCTTAAGCCCCATTGGCGAGGCCCCCTTACTTTCTCCTGTCGCTTTTCCTCCTCGTACTCTTTATTGCTTCTGGTCACCCCTTTCCCTTCTTCTAGCAGCTCTCGAAACAGGTCCACGGGGCCAGGACTTGGGGCTCCCGCCTCCACTGCTTCAAGTGCAGATCGCGAGTTCTGGTGCCTGGCTTTCTTGCGTAGGAATTCTGTGCGGGCCTGGGAGAAGGGGATGTTGTAGGCATTCAGAACCTAGAGGTGACTCAAGGGGCTGAAAGTCTGGTGTGGACCACAGAACATCACAGTCCGTGGTGCCCGGGGCACTGGGAGCCGGAAGAGGCCCCTGCCCTAGCCTGGGGTGAGGAAATGCCTTCGATTTATAAACTGCCTTTCAAATAGTAATCCATGGATCATCAAGATTGGCTTGGAGGGGATCCCTGGCCTAAACCAGAGGGGTTCCCAATCAAGTAAAACAACAAAAATAACTACAAAGGCAGCCAAACCCTGTATTAAGACCAAAAACACCAAACCAAACCCAATGCCCTTGAGTCAATTCCGACTCAGCGACCCTACAGGACAGAGTAGAACTGCCACATCTTCCTCTCGTGGAGCAGCTTGGTGGGTTCAAACTGCGGACCTTTAGGTTGGCAGGTGAGCGCTTTAACAGCGCCACCAGGGCTCCTTTGTATTAGGGCCAAAAGCAAACTAAACCCATTGCCAGTGACTCAATTCTGACTCATAGTGACCCTACAGAACAGAGTAGAACTGCCCCATAGGGTTTCCAAGGAGCAGCTGGTGGATGTGAACTGCTCTTCTTTTGGTTAGCAGCTGAGCTCTCACCCACTGCGCCATGAGGGCTCCTACATTAGGACAGGCAATCTGAATTTCAGGCATGGCCCCAAGTCACTCCCTCCAGTCAGACGTGCAATTTCTACTGATAATGTGAATAATAAAAGAGCCCAGAAGAGTACCACTTACAGCCAATATTGAGGATCAGATTAGCAGAGGGACACAGGTGTATAGCAAACAGGTTGTTTTTGTTTGTTGCTGTTCAGTCACCATCGAGTCGATTCTGATTCATGGCGACCCCATGTGACAGAGTAACTGCCCCATAAACTTTAATCTTTACGGAAAGGAGCCATACTGGCGCAGTGGTTAAGCACTCAGTTGCTAACCAAAAGGTGGGCGGTTCCAACCCACCAGCAACTCTGCAGGAGAAAGACAGTCTGCGGTAAAGATTACAGCCTTGGAAACCCTGTGGGACAGTTCTACTCTGTCCTGTAGGGTCGCTATGAGTCAGAATTGACTCGACGGCAGTGGGTTTTCTGGTTTTGAAATCTTTAAGAAAGCAGATCGCCAGGTCTTTCCCCCGCGAAGCCGCTGGTGGGTTCCAACCTCCAACTTTTCGGTTAGCGACCGATGACTAAACCACTAGCCACAAGGGCTCCTTAGGAGCCCAATAAATCTGAAGGTTGTGCAAAAACCCAACCCGTTGCCGTCCAGTCAATTCTGATTCATAGCGACTCTATAGGATGTGCAGGCAAACTAAAAAGTGATCACAGTTCCTTTTCGATCACGCAAAGGCTCATTATCTACTCTGTGCCAAGCACTGCTCTGGGCACTTGGCACGCATCCGTGGAGGAAGCCGAGACGAGGGTGGGGTCGGGAGGTTTCGTGGAGGTAGGCACAGGTGAGCTGAGCGGCTCTGCAGAGGCACGTCCCCAGGTGCAAGATCAGAGCCTGAGCCATGATTACACCCGGGGCACACTGCGACTGCGCGCCACTCCGCTTCCGGGCTCGGCCCCTGGAACCCCGCCCGCTCGGGCTCAGGCTTACCTCTTGCTGAGCGAGCAGCGCTCTCCGCTCCCGCTCTTTCTCCTCCTCCCGGGCCTGGGCCTCGTCGCGCCGTACGCGGGCCACATTATCCTTGTTCCGGACGTGCCAGCTCTTCTTGGGCAAGATATTCATGGCGCCGTAACCGTCCTCGAACTGTCAGACCCGCCTCTAGCACTTCGATTGGCGAGAGTATGCTCCCGCTCTGTTGTCCCAGCCGCGGCCACAGACTGGTCTCGGGGTAATCGGCACGCCCCCTCTAGGCCTGTAGCGAGAGGTGATTGGCTGGGTCGTCCACGCATCACCTCAAATCCGTGCGTGGTAGGGCCTAGCAACTGCCTTTTATCAGGGTTCTGAGTCAGTCATGAGTGGCCCCACCCCCAGCGCTGCTGAAGCGGCCGCCGATTGGCTGTCACGCCCGTCAAGTCTGCGGAAAAGCGTACGACACCATCACAAATTCCTATACATTGGATTGGCGCATCCCAGTCTGTACCCCTGCCCGGTTTCAAGAGACAGGTTTCAAAGAGCGCTCAGCAGCCTTCAAGCCAAAGACCAAAACCCATTAATGTCAAGTCGATTCCGACTCATAGTCACCCTATAGGACGGAGTAGAAATGCCCCATAAGGTTTCCAAGGCTCTAATCTTTACAGAAACAGACTGCCACATCTTTCTCCAGAGGAGCGGCTGGTACGTTCGAAACGCTAAACTTTCATGAGCAGGTGAACACTTAACCATTGCACCACCAGCAGCTTCCAGTTGTATTTATTGATAAATGAAAAGGTTCACTAGAGAGTCAGGGACTTGGCGGCCGGAATTCTCCAAATCCCATGCTGGAAGAGTGTGGAGTCTTCTCCAATACTTTCATTTTAGAGATGTGAATAATCGAGGCTTACAAAGGCTATGACACAAAGTTCTGGGGACAGGTCTGGAAACTCCAAGTGGTTACTTCATTCTAAGCCGGGCTGGGCAAGTCACAGAGCCCCGTTGGCCGAGCTCAGCGCCACAGCGCGCTGTGCCAGGAAGACTTTATTCTGCGCCTCCTTGAGTGAAAAGAGAGGTGAAGGTGAAACACGCCTTCCCACTCCCATGTCCCTTTCCATATTCCCCAGGAGCTTTCCCAGGTACCCGGCCTGCCTCACCGTCTCTATCTGGCGCTTGAGCTCAGAGATGAGGCGCCCATATGAGTTGGCCAGGGACACGGTATATGCCATCAGTATGCTGCAGGACACGAGGAATAGAAGCCACATCCAAAATGCTCTTACAACGTCTTCAACGTCTGGCTCCATAAACACCAAGGGTATAGGGCCCCAGCTCCTCTTCCCTGGGACCCAGCAGTCCAGCCTCTCAGCCCCCTCCTCCCTCAGACCCAGGAGTCTGGGCCCTCAGCCTCTTGCTCCATCAGACTCACGAGTTTGAGCCTCCTCCTCCCTCGGACGCAGGTGGCAGGGCCCTCAGATCACACACATTCAAACTCACAATCTAGGAATCCGGGCCCCCTCACCTGGAGATCACCAGAAGGGGCACAGCAAAAGCCTGGGTCCCCAGGAAGAAGAGAAAGTTCTGAGTGGCCTGAGGGAGGCTGTAAATAGACTCAGGGATCTGGGCCCAGATGGACGGCTGTCCCTGGAATGGACCACACAGCTTGGAAGGCGGGATCCTAAAGTCAGAGACAGGTGGGCTCAAGTAGGGCCAGGAGCCAGAACCCTGGATGAGGGCGGAAGGAGGGACTAAGATGCGGGCTCCTCTCACACTTACAGGAAGATGCTACAAAGCACGGGAACAGCGGAGATGGCCAGACCCAGGACGAGGACCAAGGGGAAAAAACAATTCACCATGGAGGCGCGGAAGGTGCGGGAGGCCGGGGAGCAGGTGGAGAAGAGGGTGAGCTGGTGAGAGAAGGTGGGGAAGGAGGAGATCTGAGACACTGAGTCTGAACCCCAGCCCCTCCACGCTCGGAGCCGGCAGTCCTGGCCCCAGCCCCTCCTCCCTCAGATCCAGGAGTTCTGACCCCAGCCCTGTCCTCCCTCATGACCCTGGAGTCCCGACCTCCTCCTCATTCAGGACCCAGAAGTCCGGTCCCCAGTCCCCTTTCCCTCATCACATCCAGGAATCCAGGTCCCCACCTCCCTCCCCCCATCACAACCAGGAGTCCCCCAGCCCCCTCCTTTCTCAGACCCAGGACTCCGGCCCCAAGTCCCTCCTCCCTCAGACCCAGGACTCTGGGCCCCCAGCTCCTCCTCCCTCAGACTCTTGAGTCCTGGCACCTATTTCCCTCCTCCCTTGGACCCAGGAGTCCGGGTTCCAAGCCCCCTCCTCCCTCGGACCCAGGAGTCCGGGCCCCCAACCCCGCCTCTCTCAAGACTTAATAGTCTGGGTCCTCAGCCCCCTCCTCCTCCAGAACCTAGAAGCAACGTCCCTCAGTCCTTTCCTCTTCCCGACCCCAGTAGTCCAGGCCCCCAATACCTCCCGCCTCAGACCCCCGAGTCTTCCCAACCCCGCACCTTTTTCAGATAGAAAAGTAGAAGGAACTTGGCCGTGTTGAGCAGTGGCAGTAAAGGGCAGAAAAAACTCCCCACCCAGACCACTGTCTGCGCGTAGATCAGCCCCAGCACCTCGTCGGGCACCTGGAACTCCTGGGTCCCGGCCAGACGACCAAGCGCCCCGGGAAAGAGGCCACAAAGCAGCCTGCAAGGCAGGGGCGGGCCGAGTCGGGCGTGTCGGCCCGGGGTTTCCCTACCTCTCCTGTCCCGCCCACCAATCGGAAGAGAGCATATCCGGGGGGCGGAGCCTTCGGTGTCCCACGTGGAGGGAGTGAGGAGGTGTGTTTAGAGGGCGGTACCTGGGGATAGGGCCGGCCAGATGGCCTTAGGGGCGGAATCTGGAGGGGACGGGATCTGAGGACCCAGGCCCAGGAAACCAAGCAGTCAGGGTCGTAGCTATAGAAAAGAGACGGTGGGGTGGGGCTTATCCCATTAGTGGCGGGGCCACAGCCAAAGGGCGGGGTTCTCACTTTCGAGGAAACTGGATGAGCAGCGAGACTGCCAAGCCGGTCAGCAGATCAAAAAGCAGGAGTTTGTACATCTCCTGCCCCACCCGGGTCTCCCAGCACTGAGGAAGGAAGAAAACGGGTCAGAAAGACCTCAGGACCCAGGCAAGCGGGTTTCCAAATCGCAAGCATATGAGATCCTATCAATACTTTCTCTGCGGGCGCCCAGTTTTTTCAAGCATCCATACCTGTGTCCTCGGGGTGGGGGTTGGGGGGTGTTCTAAACCCCTGGCCCTTCTCTGGACCCACCTAGCTCCTTCTTCCTTCCTTCAAGGAGCCAGGGTCTCCAGCCCCAGGCCCGTTCTGCCTCTGGCCCTAGGAGTCCGGATCCCCAGTTCCCTCCTCTCTCAGACCGGGGAGTCTGGGCTCCCAGCCCCTCCTCCCTCACACCCGGAGGTCCAGGCCCCACGCGGAGGTCCAGGCCCCCCTCCTCCCTCAGACCCAGGAGTCTGGCCCCCGTCCTTCTTACCGGAAGTTCTTCGTAATTGTAGCCACAGGTTTTGCAGTCCTTAGCCTTGGCATTGCCCCTGCCCCTGCAAGTGATCTGAGTCCAGAGAGAGAAGAGCAGGGAAAACAGAGAGGCGAGGCGGAGAACCACAGTCCTGGCAGAGGAAAGGAGGAAGGGAGGAAGGAAATTAGCATTGACCAGTGCCGCCACCTGCCAGGATCCTCCTGCGTGGAGTGTGCTCACAGTTCTCCCCATGTCACAGATGAAGACACTGAGGCTCAGTGACAGAGTCAGAATGAATCTAGATCTCCCTGGATCCCATGTCCTCGGGATTTCCGCGTCTTCTCTCTCAGAACTAACGTCCCTCCAACCAGCGCCCCCACTACCACCCCCCAATTCCTAGCCTGGGAGGCTGGAACCTGAGCAGGATAAAAACGATCTGGAGGCTCCGAGTGTAGCCCTCCAGCGGGGCAATGAGCTTGAACACGGGTGGCAGCACGAAGTTGACCAAGAAGATGAAGATGGACAGAAGGTAATTCACCAGGAGCTTTAGTAGTGGCGTCTGCTGGACAAAGGAATTCTCCTGGGAGAGAAGGTGGACCAACGGAAGAGGATCTGGGGTTCTGGAGATGCCCCATCAAGACCCATGCTTAAAATACTCCCCCAGCTTCGTCTTCATTTGGGACCCCGAAATCCGGTTCCAACCTCCCCCTCCCTCTGCCCCTCCTCTCTTAAGTTTCCAGGAATCTTAGACTTCAGTCCCCTCCTCCCGTGTACATGCAGGTCCAGGGCCTCCAACCTCTTCTCCCCCAAGACTTTCGCACCTGCAACTCCACGGTGTACTCCGTAGTCCTGAAGACTCCATAGCAGGCTGCCCCCAGGAGCGCTAACACCAGCAGGTTGAGCAGCCCCCGCACAAGCCACACCCTAGCTTCCTGGCCCAGGGTCCGCACTGCAGCCTGACGCCGCACCACTGCCTCCTCCAGCTCCACCTGAGGCCAGAAGAGACTTCCCCTTCCGCTTCATTTCCCTAGGCCCGGCTGCTGGTCCCGAGTCCCGCCTCGACTTGAACTGATGCAGCCCAGCCACTCTAAAAAGGTCCTTGTTCCACCCTCTCCAGGGCTTCCAAGGCTACAACATAGTTCTGCTGGCCCTGCCCCAGGCCCCGCCCACCACCCAAGTCCCGCCCCTCATCGGCCCCACCCAGCACTTTATGCAGGCCGGGAGTTCCAGTTCTTCTCTATGTAGCCCCGCCCCCTTTGTGGCCACGCCCATCCGATCAAAGAGCTCTAGGCCTCGCCCCTTCAGCCAGCTCTCTCCGGTACACTTTGACCTCAAGCAAGAAAGTCCCTCTCAGCATCTTTCTTGAAACCCCCTCTCTCTGATCTAGGCCCTATTCTAGTTCAGCCCCGCCCCCTCTGTACCTATCTAGACCGCCCACTAGTCGTATGCACCGCCCCCTAAACGCACCTGCAGCTCATAGAGGATCGTACGCTGGCGCAGCCGCACGTGGACAGCGCCGCGGAGGCCAAAGTCCCAGGCCGAGAACACGCGATGGCTGTAGCTGGTCAGAGCCCCCGACTCGGCCAGCAGTGTCTGCTTCATGCCGGACACTGAGCTGAGAGAGGGGAGACCCGGGAGGCCGAGTGGGGAAGGACAGTCACAGGGCCACCCTCTCATTGGGCAACCAGGGAAAATGAGCCCTGAGCCCGGGTGGTGCAACAGTTTAGCGCTCGGCCACTAACCCAAAGGTCAGCAACTGGAACCCACCCAAGGGCTCCCCAGGAGAAGGACCCGGCAATCTGCTTCTGTAAAGGTTTCAGCCCAGAAAACCCTATGGGGCAGTCCTACTCTGTCCTATAGGGTCGCTATGAGTCGAAATCCACTAGAAGGCACCTAACAAGATTCTTGACATTTGTCGAGCTGCCAGCTAGTGAAGAAAGGGTCAAAGGGGCGGAGACACAGAGTCTTTGGAGATAAAAACCAACAGAGACAGTCAGAAGCAGACCCAGAGGAGAACGGACACCCAAAAAGAGAGAGGCAAAAACCTAGAAGACAGAGGCAGAGCTCCAGAGAAAAGGGGAACTGGAACCCAAAGTGAGAGAGATGGAGACTGGAGGGAGGACAGGGACTCTGAAGGAGGGGGACTGAGGGCCGTGAGGGGGGCAGAGACTCAGAAGGGGACAGACCCCCAGAGAGAGGGGGGCAGAGACCAAGAGAGGGATGGAGACTCAGAGAGAAGGCGACAGACCCCCAGAGAGAGGGAGACAGAGATTCAGAGAGAGGGGGAGAGACCCATAGAGAAAGGAGGATAGAAATCCAAAGAAGAAGGGGTTGTGAAGACCGGGATCGGAGTGGGGGTGGGAGAGACCAGAGAAAGGGGCAGAAACAGAGAGAACTGGGCAGAGACTCCATCTTCTGGCTCATCTTTCACCTGAACAACTTCTGTGGCCTCCCATGTGGTTTCCCTGCTTGTATTATCCTTGCTGTCTTAGAATCCATTCTGTGCTCTCAAGGCAGTGGAACCTTCTTACCACGCAAATCAGATGGCATTCTGTTTAAAACCTGCCCTACAGCATCTTCTAACTCTTAAAGTCTAGGCTCCTTACTAGCATAGCTGGCAAGAGCCTGCCTGAGGTGGCCTCACTTACCTGTCTGAACTTAATTCCTGTCCCTCCTCCTCCTCGTACTGGCCTTTCATTTCCTAGAACACCCCAATCTTGTTTCTACCACAGGGCCTTTGCACTTGCAGTTTCCTCCGTCCAGAAAGCTAGTGGCTTGCCTATTCACCTGGCTGGCTCTTTCAGGTCTTGGTCTACATCCAGGTCACCTCCTCAGAGAGGCCTTTACTGTCCACTCCATCGAATGAAGGTCCCTGCCCATTATTCTCTCTCACAGGGGTAGGCAAATTACGGCCAACAGGCCAAATTCAGCCCGATGCCTGTTTTTGTAAATAAAGTTTTATAGGAACACAGTCACACCAATTGGTTTACATATTGTCTGTGGCTGCTTTTGTGCTACAATGGCAGAGTTGAGAAGCTGGTCCACAAAGCTGAAAATACTTACCACCTGGCCCTTTACAGAAATTATGTAATTAATTTGCTTGCTTATTTGTTGAACATCTTATCTCCCCACTAAACTGTAAGCCACAGGAGGGAGAAACTTCCCATCCGGTATCTCTAGCCTCTAACCTATTGCTGTCGAGTTGACTGAGTAGAACTGTGTTCCGTAGGGTTTTCTTGGCTGTAATCTTTACAAAAGCAGGTTGCCAGGACTTTCTTCAGTGGCACTGCTGGGTGGGTTCAAACTACCAACCTTTAGGTTACTAGTCAGGAACAAACCATTTGCGCCACCCAGGGATCTATCCCTAGCCTGTAGTACTTAAACATTTTACAACTGATTTTGACTCAAATAGAGAGAAAGGGGTCACACAGCAAGAAGGCTCAAGACTCTTGGGGAGTTCAGACAGGTAAGTGGGAGGCCACCTCAGGCTCTACCACCACCTCTCCCTCCCCTCCAATCCAGGGGTGCGTGCGGGGTGTCACTGACCGGTGCAGGATGAGCAGGAGGCAGAGGAGGCCAATGGCAAAGACTGAGCACAGGTAGGTGACCGCCAGGCGCGGGCGGGGCGGGTAGAATCCATAGAAGAGAGGGGACCATTCTAGATAACCCTAGGGAGGGAAGGCGAACAGGGGTCGCTGTGGGGCTGAGGCTGGGTGGAGGCAGAGGCCAGGAAACTGGGCCATCAGGCTCTAGGGGTCACAGTTTGAGATCCAGTTCATCGAGGGCACCTGGGCTCAGAGATGGGTGGGGAATCTACCAGGGACCCTTGCATGCACCTGTCCCGTGAGCAAGTTGAAGAGCTGGGTGTGGAATGCGATCAAGCCCTGGGAGCTCGGGTTGTAGGAGCCACAGGGTGAGGAGATGTTAGTGCTGGGGGGTCCCGGGGGAGTCCCTTCCAACCAGGTGGGCAGCAGCGTCATGCAGGCCTTCAGCGCGGCGGCCAGCACGTTGAGAAGTAGCAGAAAGCGCAACAAGGAGAAGTAGGACTCGGTGCCGGCCCCGAACTGGCCTGAAGGGGGCAGCAGAGATAAGCCTTGGGTTCCTTCTCAGGCTACAGCCCCGCACCTCCTCCCGGCTGGCTGTCAGGCCCCGCCCCTTCCCTCTGCCCCTCCTCCCTGCTGCCAGGCCCCGCGCCTCCTCCTGGCCCGCCTGCTCCCCAGCCTGGTCCCCAGCACTCCAGCCCCAACCCCACCATACCCCCTATCCTCTTCAGCGTCCATGCCCAGGGCTGCAGGGTACAACAGGCTTCCCGCATCTTCTCCCTGGACCTCCGAAGCACCCGGGCCCAGTGTGCCGCCCTGGACCCCGAGCCGTTGGCCACTTGGTCCCAAGTGTGCCTCTTCCTGGAAGGGAAATGGAGTCAGAGACAGGCAATGGAGGGCCTGCCAGTTGCCTGTTGAGTCAACTCAGGCTCATGGCGAACCCATGTGTGGCAGAGTAGAACTGTGCTCCACGGCGTTTTCAATGGCTAATTTTTCAGAAGCAGATCGCCAGCCCTTTATTCAGAGGCTCCTCTGGGTGGACTCGAGCCTCCAACTTGTCAGTTAGCAGATGAGAGATTAAAATATTTGCATCACCCAGGGAGCCCTATGAAGGGCTTACCAGCCCCAAACTGGAAACAACTCAAATGCAGGACCAACGCAACAATACCACAGGGCAAGTGAACTGTGGTATATTCATCACATGCACTACTATAAAGGAACAAAAATGAATAAACCTAATGTTAACCATAAGGAGCCCTAGTGGCACAATTGTTAAGCACTCAGCTGCTAAACAAAGGTTGTGGTTCAAACCCACCCAGCGGCCCACAGGAGAAAAACCCGGCGATCTGCTTCTGTAAAGATTAAAAGCAAAAACCAAATCTGTTGCTGTGAGTTGATTTCGACTCATAGTGACCCTACAAGACTGAGTAGAACTGCCCCATAGGGTTTCTAAGGCTGTAAATCTTTGCGGAAGCAGACTGCCACAGCTTTCTCCCCCGGAGCAGCTGGTGGGTACAAGCCACCAACCTCTTGGTTAGCAGCCCAGCATTCTAACCACTGCGCCACCAGGGCTCCTTTCCGTAAAGATTACAGCCTAGAAAACCCTATGTAGCAGTTCTTGTCTGTAACTACACGGGATCACTATGAGTGGGAATCGACTCTATGGCACACAAGAACCACAAGACGTAAAGCACCAAAGAATAAATACTGCCCAATTCCATGTACATAAAGTTCCCGAGAAAGCACAACAAGACTCTTCGACCAGGGCTCCTTTAGGAATGCATGTTGTTGTTGTTAGGAGCTATTGAGTCAGTTCCAACTCATAGCAACCCTACAGGACAGAGGAGAACTGCCCCATAGGGTTTCCAAGGAGCAGCTGGCGGATTTGAACTGCTGACCTTTTGGTTAGCAGCCAAGCTCTTAATCACTACGCCACCAGGGCTCCTAGGAATGTATGTCAGGTGGTAAAGCTATAAAGAACAACAAGGAAGTGATTAATTCCAAAAGTCAGGGAAAGGGTTGTCTTGTGGGAGAAGGAGGGTGACAGGGGAAGGGCATGTGGGGTGCTGCAATGTTTCATCTCTTGCCCTAGGTAAAGTTTACCTGGGCGTTCACTTTATAAATATTCTTTAAAGCTGTACATCCCTGTCTCATGCACTTTTCTGTAGATAAATGTGATAATCAAAGAAAACAAGAAAGAAATAGAAGGAAGGGAAGGAGGGAGGAAGGAAGCAGGAAAGAAAGGAGGTGGGGAGGAAGGAAGGAAGGAAGAGAAGAAGCTTGGTTTAATACTGTGCTGCTGCAATCTTAAAATGCATAATATAAAGTGAGAATAGCAGCACAATTGGAAGAGCATAGTTGATGTCACTGAACTGTGCATGTAGAAATTTTTGAAATGGTGTATCTTTGGCTATGTATACTTTCACCAAAAAAAAAAAAAAAAGGTTGAGAAGGGAGAGGGTTGACATGTTGTGGGGTTGTTAACCAATGTCATAAAACAATACGTGTACTACTGTTTCATGAGAAACTATTTGTTCTGTAAGCCTTCACCTGAAGTACAATAAAAAAAAAATGCATAATAATTTTTTAACAAGAGGCCCAGCATTTTCAGTTGTCACTGGGCCCCGCAAATTATGCAGGGGAGAGAGGAAAGAATGAAGTAAAAGAGAGAGTGACAGGCTACGAAAAGGAAGGGAGGCAGAGATAAAGAAAGACATAAACCAGAGAGTGAAAAACAGTCACATTTCTGACACAGAGAGAAACAGGGAGAGACGGAGACAGGTTTGGATGGAGAGGTGACACAGAGAGACAAGACCCTGGGAGAGAGAGGCGAGCCAGAGAGCCAGAGAAGTAGAGACCAAAGCAGGCAAGTTAAGATACTAAGAGACACGGTTGGAGAGAAGAGGAGAGAGACAGACGGCAGAGTAAGAAGCCAGGATGTGGGAGAAATGGCCTCGCTTCAGGGCCCCTGGGTTCTGAGCAGAAAATAGGTCTCACGCGTGTGCCCGTCTGGCCTGCATGGGCCAGGGCAGCTCCCGGGACGGGCAGGATTCCTGCAGCTCCTTTTGGGTGGCTCCCACAAAGGCCTGGATGTTCCCTTCTTCGTCCTCATCCTGCTCCTCCAGTGCCCCGCAAGGCAGCACCCCAGGGCCTCGGTACCGGAGGGTGGCTGCGCTGGGGAGCTCGTTCAGCACAGAGGACAGGGACAGACCTGGGAAAGTAGGGCAGGGAGCTGAGAGGACCCACTCCCTGACCCTCTTCCCTCAGATCCCCTCAGCCCCCTCCTCCCTCAGAGCCAGGAGTCTAAAAACCTCCACCGCCTCCTCAAGGGCCCAAGTGTGGATTCCTCAGCTCCCTTAAGCCCAGGGCTGAGGAATTCAGCCCTCGACTTCCTTTTTTCTTATTCTGGAGTCCCAGCCCCCAGTCTCTCTCATTCCTCAGACACCCCAATGTCCCAGCCCTTATCCCTCTCCAAGACCAGAGTCTGGGTCTCCGGATTCTTCCTCCCTCAGGACCCAGGAGTCCAGGCCTCCATTTTCCTCCTCCCCCAGGCTTCCACCCAGCCTGAGGGTTTCTCCACCAGGGTTGGATCTGAACCCCACCAGCTCCCCTACCTGGTCTGGCCTCCCTGGGTGCCAACCACTCCCCAGAGGCACCCCAAGCGTCAGATCCCCAGGCAGGGGTCTCTTCCATGGCCTCCGGGCTCGGCTGTTTCCGTCTCTAGTGGCCACCAGGGCGGGGACTGCCCCAGGTAAGGGAGGAGCCTGGGCCAGGTCTGTACCTGGCCACCAGGTGGCCCAGAGGGAAGGCTGTACACAACCCATAAACTCAGAACCATGGTCTGGAAAGGCCTCCTGGGAACTGCCTGGTGGCATCCCGAGCTAGCAGCTTGGTTCCTTGTCATTGAGTAGGTTCTGACTCTTAGCAACTATTATGGATTGCATTATGTTCCCAAAAATATGTGTTGTAAATCCTAACCTCTATGCCTGTTGGGTCGCTATGATTCGGAATTGACTGGACAGCAATGGGTTTGGTTTTTGGTTTGTATGCTTGTGGTTATAATCCCATTTGGGAATGGGTTATGTTAATGAAGCAGAATAAGTGTAGGTTTATCTTGAGTCAATCTCTTTTGACATATGAGAGATTAAACAAGTGAGAGAAGCAAAGATGGGGGGAGACGCCAACCACATTAAAATTGCTCAGGAGCAGAAGCTCAGAAGGGGCAAGGACCTTCCCTAGAGCTGACAGAGAAAGCCTTCCCCTAGAGCTGGCACCCTGAATTGACTTCTAGACTCCTAAACTGTGAGAACATAAATGTTTGTTAGAGCCATCCACTTGTATTTCTATCACAGCAGCACTAGGTAACTAGAGACCCTATAAGACAGGGTAGAACTGCCCCACAGGATTTCCAAGGCTGTAATCTTTACTAAATCAGCCTGCCACATCTTTCTCCTGAGGAGCCGTTGCTGGGTTCCAACTGCCGACCTTTTGGTTAGCAGCTGACCTTTAAACCACTGTGCCACCAGGGCTCCTTAGCTTCATTTCAGGGTGCTACAATGCAGCAGCTTCAGGCTCATCGGTTCATTTCCTAGAGACACGCACACACAGACATACACACACAGAGTAGTCTTGTGCAACACTTTATTGGGAACGATTTAAACACTCTGACCCTGTCTTAGTCTGAGGGACCAAGACAAGAGGATGACAAAGGCATTGGGGTCCTGTGGTGGCTCAGACAGAAGCTTCAAGGAGAACGGCAGTCCCAAAGCCTGGTTGTCTGCACCTCAGTTTCCCCTCAATGGAATGGGAAGGTTCTGTCCTCTTCCAGTTCTCAAACAATGATTTCATGAGATAATAAAAGTAGAGCAAAAGAGATGAGAAAGAGTCCCCCACTCCCAGAGCCTGGCCCTGAAGCTCCTAGCCCCACACTGTGGCTCCACAGAAAGGGAATTTGTGCAAGAAAAGACCTCCCCCAGCAGCCTCTGATGTTTTGGGGATGCTTCGTGCTTTCTGAATACCTGGGGCACTGTAGCAGGTGCAGAGGGGGGGCTCTTCTCCGGGCAATACCTTGATTTTACAGGAGGGGGTGGGACTGATCCACTGAAGGGCTCAGGCACAGGGTTGGGAAGCAGGAGGTGGGTACGACCCCAGCTTTGCTTCACTGGGGAGCAAGGTATGTAGCCAGGGGAAAGAGAACCCTCTCCAGGACTCTTTTCTGGGGAAGGCGACAGCAGGCTGGTTCACAGAATTTCCAGGTGAAAGCATGGTGGTTGGGCAGGCTGGCTGGCAGAGGCACACTGGAGCAGCTCACTCCTCCCGGAGCTTTTCTGGGGTGAGGCCAGAGGCCTGGGGTGCTGCCTTCCGCTGACTGGGGCTGCCCCCTCCCAGCGCCAGCCCCAGCCCCAGGGCCACCAGGGCCACCAGGTGGACACAAAAGTAGATGGAGGCCCAGTAGCGGAGTGTGTCCCACAGTGAGAGGAGCACGAAGCCCATGCACATGTAGTCGTAGGCCCGCATCTTCATGAACCAGTGTACCCAGTCCCAGGCCTTCTGGCCCCCAGGGCTCAGCCGCCCCCGCAGGGCCGACTCCAGCCGGCCCTCAGCCGCCAGGCACAGCGGGATGGTCAGGAAGCTCAGGTAGTAGCCGGGGTGCAGGCCGTGCCAGTAGGCACTCATCAGCATTGTCCAGGCGCTCCTGGGGGGGGACCTGGAAGTCAGGACCTGGCAGTCTGGGCTCCCAGCCCCCTCCTCCCTCAGACCCAGGAGTCCTCTTCCTCAGCTCCTGAAGACCGAGGAGGCTATGGGTATTTGCCTTCTTTAGGAACCCAGCAGCCCCCAGCCCCTGCCATTCAGGTTTACAGAACAGTTTAGTAGGTTCCCACACAATTTCTACACAAGTTGTTCAGTGACATTGGTTACATTCTTCACAATGCATGAACATTCTCATTATTTCTGTTCTGGTTGTTCCATTTCCATTAATCTAGCTTCCCTGACCCCTTATATTCTCATCTTTGTTTTAAAGCACAGTAAAACCTGCAAAAGCCAGAACCTGTCTGCGTATAAACCAAAACAAAAAAACCAAACCCGTTGCGATCAAGTCGATTCTGACTCATAGCGACCCTACAGAACAGAGTAGAACTGCCCCATAGGGTTTCCAAGGAGTGGCTGGTGGATTTGAACTGCTGACCTTTTGGTTAGCATCTGAGCTCTTAACCACTGCGCCACCAGGGCAACACAACTACAAGGATAGGAGCTAGGATTTACGACACATATTTTAGGGGAACACAATTCAATCCATAACAAGGATTGCCCTGTTCATTGAAGGATGTTGAGCAGCATCTCTGGTGTCTACCCGCTACAGGCCAGTAGCACCCCCTACAAGTTGTATCAAAAATGCCTCCAGACATCTGACAAATTTCCCGGGGCGGGGTGGTGCAAAAATTGGCCCCGTTGAGGACTATTGGTCTAAACACTGGCGTGCCCTGAGGGTTGACCCGGCCCTCAGTCCTAGAGCTTTAAATATCACCTGTACCTTGATGATGCTCAAGTGCCCACTTCTTTTTTATTTTTCCCATACAAAAATTTGTATATACATTATGTGACTCTAACTGCTCTCCCCACACTGTGACAGCACACTCCTCCTTTCCACCCAATTCCCCATGTCCATTCAACCAGCTCCTAACATTCTCTACCTTCCCATCTCACATCGGGACAGAAGCTGCCCGTTTAGTCTCTTGTATCTACTTGAGCGAAGAGGCACACTCCTCACGAGTATCACTTTATGTTCCACAGTCCTGTCCAACCCGTCTGAAGAGCTGGCCTCAGATATTGTTTTAGTTCTGGGCTGATAGAGAATCCAGGGGCCATGCTCTCCGGGGTTCCTCTAATCTCAGTCAGACCATTAAGTCTGGTCTTCTTACTAGAATTTGAGTTCTTCACCCCACCTTTCTCCTGCTCCATCTGGAGCTCTTTGGTGTGTTCCCTGTCAGGGCGGTCATTGGTGGTAGCTGGGCACCATCTAGTTCTGATCTCAGGCTGAGGAAGTCTCTGGTTTATGTGGCCCTTTCTGTCTCCTGGGCTAATACTTTGTGTCTTTGGTGTTCTTCATTCTCCTTTACTCTGGGTGGCTGGGACCAATTGATTCATCTTAGATGGCCGCTTGCAAGCTTTTGAGACCCCAAACGCTACTCGCCAAAGTAGGATGCAGAACATTTTCTTAATAAGCTTTGTTATGCCAATTGACCTCCATGTCCCTGAAAGCATGGTCCCCAGACCCCTACCCGTGCTACTCTATCCCTCAAAATGCTTGATTGTATTCAGGAACCTTCTTAGCTTTGGTTTAGTCCAGTTGTGCTGACTTCCCCTGTACTGAGTGCTGTCCTTCCTTTCCCCTAAGATAATTCTTATCTACTATCTAGTTAGTAAATAACTCTCCCCCTCCCTCCCCACCCTTGTAACCATCAAAGAATGTTTTCTTCTGTGTTTAAACCTTTTCTTGAGTTCTTATAATAGTGGTCTTATACAATATTTGTCCTTCTGTGACAGACTAAACTCACTCAGCATAATGCCCTCCAGCTTCCTCCATGTTATGTTTCACGGCTTCATCGTTGTTCTTTATTTTGGATAGTATTCCATTGTGTAGATATACCATAATTCGTTTATCCATTCGTCCGTTGATGGGCACCTAGGTTGTTTCCATCTTTTTGCTATTGTGAACAGTGCTGCAATGAACATGGATGTGCATATACCTATTCGTGTGACGGCTCTTATTTCTCTAGGATATATTCTAAGGAGCAGGATAGCTGGAGCCTATGGTACTTCCATTTCTAGCTTTTTAAGGAAGCACCAAATTGATTTCCAAAGGGGCTGTACCATTTTACATTCCCACCAACAGGGTATAAGTGGTGTTCCAGTCTCTCCACAACCTCTCCAGCATTTATTATTTTGTGTTTGTTGGATTAATGCTAGCCTTATTGGGGTGAGATGATATCTCATTGTAGTTTTGACCTGCATTTCTCTAACGGCGAATGATTGTGAGCATTTCTTCATGTGTCTGTTAGCTGCCTGAATATCTTCTTTGGCAAAGTGTCTCTTCATATCCTTTGCCCATTTTTTAATTGGGTTATTTGTCTTCTTGTTGTTGTGGTTTCGCAGTATCTCATAGATTTTAGAGATTAGACGCTGACCGGATTTGTCGTAGCCAAAAATTTTTTCCCAGTCTGTAGGTTGTCTTTTTACTCTTTTGATGAAGTCTTTTGATGAGCGTACGTGTTTGATTTTTAGGATCTCCCAATTATCTAGTCTTGTCCATTGTTACTTATGGTTCGTATTGTGTTTCTGCCATGTATTAGGGCTCCTAGCGTTGTCCCTATTTTATCTTCCATGATCTTTATCGTTTTCAATTTTCTATTTAAGTCTTTGATCCACTTTTGAGTTAGTTTTTGTGCACGGTGTGAGGTATGGGTCTTGCTTCAGTTTTTTGCAGATGGCTATCCAGTTATGCCAGCACCATTTGTTAAAGAGACTGTCTTTTCCCCAGTTAATGGACTTTGGGCCTTTTCAAATATCAGCTGCTCATAGGTGGATGAATTTATGTCTGGATTCTCAATTCTGTTCCATTGGTCTATGTATCTGTTGTTGTATCTGTATCAGGCTGTTCTGACTACCGTGGCAGTATAACAGGTTCTAAAATC